CAATGAGCCTTTGAGGCATGACTGTCCAGGTGTATTGCTGATTGTTCCAACTTAAGGCGAACAGATATCAGCCATTGGGGTCTACAGGGCTGCTGAAAAAGGCTGAACCAAGATCTGCAACAGTGAACCATCTTGAGTCTGGTGTCACTCATGACAAAAGGGTGTTCTGGGTTTGCAACAACTGGGAAATGGGGAATAACTATCTCGTTAATAGCTCTTAAGTCCTGAGGGAAGGGATAAATTGGGAGACTGGAATTGACAAATACACACTACTATATATAAAATAGATAACTAATAATAAGAACCTCCTGTATAGCACAAGGAACTCTACTGAATACTCTGTAAAGACTTAAATGGGAAAATAATCTAAAAAAGAATGGATATATGAACATATATAACTGATTTACTTTGCTGTACAGCAGAAACTAACACAACATTGTAAATCAACTCTACTCCAATAAAAACTAAAACAAACAAACAAACAAAACCTTTCCCTGGGGGGAAAAAGGAAAAACCTCAAGTTCTGGACAAATCTCCATCCTCACCCATTAGGTTTCCAGGCTGGCAGGATCTGTGTGTCATGGGGGCTAATACAGGGCACGATTACCCGCTGGGAGATGAGATCTTTTGTTGCGGGTGTGAGGCTTTAGTGGATATTGAGGTAATTGAGGAAGAGGTTTAGTTATGTGTCTCTGAATCATTATAGGCTCTGTACTTTTTATTGTCCCAGTGTCAGTATTAGAAATAGCCCACAGGTTTTTGGGCACCTCAATTAAATTAGGGGACTTCTGTTGGAATCCTTCCTCTTCTACGTCAAGGACAGATTGTAAGAACGTAAGAGAACATCAGGTTCAGGTTGGTCAGGAAATTTTATGGTGAGGTCTCCATTGGAAACAAAATGTATTAGCCCTTTTAACTTAGAAAGCAGATCTCTACCTAATAGATTGACCGGGGCTATGTCACATAGCAAAAAAGAATGCTTTTCAGTCAAAGGTCCCAGAGTCATTTGTATTGGTTGAGGTAGAAATTCTCTCTGAACGTTTATTAGATACTTCTACTAAGGAAACCTCTTTTTCACTCTGAGGGATTTGTCGTCCTATGGGAGTGGGATTTAAAGTAGAAAGTGTAGGGACTTCCCTGGTGGTCCAGTGGGTAACTCCACGCTCCCAATGCAGGGAGCCTGCGTTTGAGCCCTGGTCGGGGAACTAGATCCCGCATGCGTGCCGCAACTAAGAGTCTGCATGCTGCAACTAAGAAGCCCGCCGCTGCAACTAAAAAATAAATAAATAAATAAAAGTAGAAAGTGTAGCTCCATTATCGACTGGAATTTGGCACGGTTTCCCATTAATTTTAATTTTAGTTTCCCCTTGGCTGTTTAATTACTGATAACAGCTTACTGGAGAATCCCTCGGAATACTGAGGGGGTAGATGTGGGGCACTCAAGTTGAAGAATTTGCATAAGACCTTTGAGGACAATCTTTTTTTCCAGTGTCCCAGTTGATTACGTGTGAGACATTGGGTCTCGGGCCAGCGTTTTGATGGTGGACCCCTAGGAAGATGTTATGTTAGGTCTCTGGCCTTGGAGCTTTTGTAGCTGTAAGGCCAACAATTTGGAAAATTTTTGCTTGTGGTCTTGCTCTAAGGTCGTTTCAGAGTGCTCAGCTATGGTCACTGGCTCCATCAGACTGGTGGTCTCCCATCCTATTTTCTGTCTTTTTATCAATGCACTAATCTCAGGAGATAATCTATTTGCAAATAGGGCAGCTAAGAGCAGGTTGAGTGACTCTTTTATATGGGAGTGTTTCCAAGCGTGCCTTAAAGTTGGCCCGATTCATCTTTCTTTGGTTTGCATGTTTGAATAATAGACCGATCAGTTGGGGTAGGGAAGATCCTAGGAATGGCTTATAAAAGGTCAGGTGCTGTTTTGCCAGCTTTTTCTGGTTGAGGATCTTGAAGATCATCCTCTGGGTTTTGCCATTTTGCTTCCTGTGTCCATTTGGTGCTTCACCAGGTCCTACCTGCATGTGCACGAGCTGATAAAGATTTTGCAGCCTGGGGTTGAGGTCCTGATAATGACTCCAGATTCTTCAAAGAACTTTTGGGGTTCCTCCCTAGGTTTAGGAAATGCCTTAACTATGGCCCTTAGTTCCATCTTTGACCAAAGAGTGAAAGATACCCGAGGAGGTTCGTCTGCAACCTTGGGTAGTTCTCTCTTACATGGTAACTGTTGAATAGTCCCTTCAGAGTGGAAAAGCAGTTCAGAAAGAAAATCAGTAAAACATGAGTACTCAGGGGCTTCCCTGGTGGCGCAGTGGTTGAGAGTCCGCCTGCCGATGCAGGGGACACGGGTTCGTGCCCCGGTCCGGGAGGATCTCACATGCCGCGGAGCGGCTGGGCCCGTGAGCCATGGCCGCTGAGCCTGCGCGTCCGGAGCCTGTGCTCCGCAACGGGAGAGGCCACGGCAGTGAGAGGGCCGCGTACCGCAAAACAAACAAACAAACATACATGAGTACTCAGGTAAAGAAGGAGAGAGGGGCTTTCATGGTGGCGCAATGGTTAAGAATCTGCCTGCCAGGGCTTCCCTGGTGGCGCAGTGGTTAAGAATCCGCCTGCCAATGCAGGGGACACGGGTTCAAGCCCTGTCTAGGAAGATCCCACATGCTGCGGAGCAACTAAGCCCGTGCGCCACAACTACTGAGCCAGCTCTCTAGAGCCACAACTACTGAGCCTGCATGCCACAACTACTGAAGCCCACACGCCTAGAGTCCGTGCTCCAAAACAAGAGAAGCCACCACAATGAGAAGCCCGTGCACCGCAACGAAGAGTAGCCCCTGCTCTCTGCAACTAGAGAAAGACCGCGTGCAGCAACAAAAACCCAACGCAGCCAAAAAAAAAAAAAAAGAGAAAGGAGAGCAGTTTTTGTTTTAGGTACTTCTCATGATTTTGATTTTTCATTAGCCTTTTTGTAACCCATCTTTTAATGAAGCTATTTTGGAAACTTGAAGCCTTTTGGAAGCTTCCATATACCAATGAAAATAAGTATCCCATTCTATTTGCTTAATTTGGAAACCCTCACTTTCAAGGGCACTTTTTTTTTTTTTTGGGATACTCGGGCCTCTCACTGTTGTGGCCTCTCCCGTTGCGGAGCACAGGCTCCGGACGCACAGGCTCAGCAGCCATGGCTCATGGGCCCAGCCACTCCACTGCATGCGGGATCTTCCCGGACCGGGGCACGAACCTGTGTCCCCTGCATCGCCAGGCAGACTCTCAACCATTGCACCACCAGGGAAGCCCACTTTTTAAAAAAATAATAAATTTATTTGTTTTTTGGCTGTGTCGGATCTTCGTTGCTGCGTGCGTGCTTTCTCTAATTGTGGACAGGGGGCTGCGCTTCATTGCAGTGTGTGGGCTTCTCATTGCGGTGGCTTCTCCTGTTGTGGAGCATGGGCTCTAGGCCCCTGGGCTTCAGTAGTTGCAGTGCGTGGGCTCAGTAGTTGTGGCTCGCGGGCTCTAGAGCTCAGGCTCACTAGCTGTGGTGCACAGGCTTAGTTGCTCTGCGGCATGTGGGATCTTCCCGGACCAGGGCTCAAACCCGTGTCCCCTGCATTGGCAGGCGGATTCTTAACCATTGTGCCACCAGGGAAGTCCCTCAAGAGCACTTCTGAAATAAACAATCTTGTCTCACTGACACATTCCCCACAGTGGCCACTGTAATTCTAGGTTGTTTTTAGTAATATTTTGCCATTTTTGTAGATATTTACAGCCTTTGGGATTATAGTTCTTAGACATAAAAAAGGCAGGTGTGCTGATGGGTGGCATGCTTGATTCATTAAAGGTGAAAGCTCCCATCTCCCTTAGCCTCTCTTAGCTGGCTTTATCTACACAAAGCAAGACAGACAAACATGAATACCTTAACATTCCACCTGTAACCAGTTACTGCGGCCTGGCCAAGAAAAAGGCCCTGTGCGCACCACCACCAACTGCCTACACAGAACCTGGGGCTGGGGGAAAGGACTGAACCAGCAGACCCCAAATGGGGATTGTGGGCTGATTCCAAATGAATGGGGAACCGCAGCTGCCACCAGCAGTGCCCACCGTGGAATCTGGGAAAGGATCCCAAATAAATGGGGAACAGCAGACCATACCGCCAGCAGTTCCTAACATGGAATCTGGGAACAGAACCAAGGCTGGGGGTTTCCAACCAAATGAGGAACTGTGGTCCGAACTACCAGCAGCTCCCAACGTGGAACTAGTGATTCCAGACAAATGGGGAACTGGCTGGAAAGTCAATTAGATTGGGAGTGACACAAAGAGAGCAGAGGTCAGAAATGAGAGGAACTTACCCACGGCCCCCAGAAATGGCAAGAAAGACAGTGGACTCAAAAAGGGGTTCATGGGTACCATGCTTATGTTTCTCGTTGTCCCCGAATGCTGTCAGAGGTTCACTTTGGATCCTGTCGCTGCCACCAGATCTGTTGAAAAAACAAAATTCAACTGAGTAAATTTTAAAGATCTAATTGACCTTATTGAAGGCTTCATGGATCAGGCAACATCTCATCTAGCAAGTAGAGGGGAGCTCTAAAGGCTACAGAAAGGGAAAGGTTTTTAAAGACAGGACAAGGAAGTCATAAACAGAAAAAAGGATTATTTCAGATTAAGTCACCTCCTTTTTGGGAAAAAAGGGTCTTATTAGGGGGGTTACCTCTTCCTTTGGTGGATGGAGAGGGGAGAGGGGCCCATGTGACAGACTACCTCATTGGTACTGACCAGAAAATTCCTGACTGACTGGTTAAGACTACATTTCTGGGGGAGGCTGAAGCTCCAATTAGGTGAGGTACTAAGCCCCAGTTTAGTGGCATGGCCTAGCATAAGTGACTCCATTTTGGGCCTGTGGTTTTATTTTTAACAATGGGGATGGGCCTCGCGTTGTGGGTTGGAGGCCCAGGGGAGCACCTGCCCATCCTGGGGGCAGAGCTTGAGCACCCCTGACCCTGCTGCAGGTACAAGCCCCCGCCGAGCGAGTGTAACCCAGCCTTGGATGACCCAACACCAGACTACATGAACCTGCTCGGCATGATCTTCAGCATGTGTGGCCTCATGCTCAAGGTGGGCAGGGCTGAGTTTCCTTCCCGTAGCTCTGCCTGACAGCGGGGAAGGCATGGATTCAGAATGAAGCAGGACCAGTGCTGAGGGGGCAGGGCTGTGGTGATGCTGGGTGAAGAAGGCTAGAGCTGTCGGGGAAGCCAGGTGTCCGGGTCAGGGTTGCACACAGGACGTCAGTCTGAGGCTGGGGCCAGGCTTTAATGCAACTTGGTGGGGACTGGTGGAGAAAATGTGGGGTCCGTAGCACGATGGGGGATGTCAAAGGCCAGGCTCCTTAGGCCTGAGGGGACATGGTGGGGTCAGAGATGCAGGACAGGGAGTAGGACCAGAGCTCGGGTACCTGGAGTTAACTGTGGGGGTCTGGAACTGAGAGACTCCTGGGGCTCAGGGTTTGAGCTGTGTCAGGTGGAACCGGTGCCTGGGAATGGCCCTTGTGGGGGCTCATTGGGGTGCCTCTCACCGCCCTAACCCACCCAGCCACCTACGTCTTGCAGCTGAAGTGGTGCGCTTGGGTCGCCGTCTACTGCTCCTTCATCAGCTTTGCCAACTCGCGGAGCTCTGAGGACACCAAGCAGATGATGAGCAGCTTCATGTGAGCTGGGTCTGGAGAGGGAGGGGCTCCTGCGCGAGGGGAAGGGGACCCCAAGCCTCTCCACCCTGGACTCACACCTCTCTCCCGTCTCAGGCTGTCCATCTCTGCCGTGGTGATGTCATATCTGCAGAACCCTCAGCCCATGACGCCCCCCTGGTGATGGCAGCCTAGAGGGCTCACATCCTGGACCCCTCTATCTACCTTACGCCCTAGGCCTGGCCCGTGGCTGCTCAGCCTCCTGCCCTCAGCTGCAGTCCTGGGCTTCCCTGCAGCTGGATGGAGGGAACCTGGCCCTGTCCTTGGGATCCCACTTTGCTGGAGCAGAGAGGGGAATCTCCTGGGTCTACCCCTGCTGCCTTCCTTCCCCACCCTGCCTGCTGTTGGGGGAGATACTATCCGTGTTTCTAGGTGTATCCACTCATTTTCTTGTTGAAACCAGCTAATAATAAATTTTTGCATTCTGGTTGTTCTCTGAGACCTCTCTCTCCTTCTGTGCATTGTCATAACAGGGGGAAGGGCTCCAGTTCCTCCACTCAAGTCAGGCTGGGGGTGGGGTCCCCAGTCTGGAGCCTTTTGGTTAGTTCACTTGCTTATTTCACAAGACTCGAGCCTTAAGTCAGCTGCCAGAGACTGAACAATGATCCCTGCCCTCTGGCAACTCAGCAGACAGCCCTGCTGATCTAAGGAATCTGTGCTTTGGTTTTCTTATCAGAGGAATGGGGGTACTGTCAGCAAATCGGATGGACTGGTAGGGACTGGGGGAAGGCATGAAAGACTGAGTTCTCCCCCACCTGCCATGTTCTCACTCCTCATCAGAGGACACCGGTATCTCTCGAACAAGGCTGTATGCCTTCCCTCCCCAGCACCGTAACGGCGGTTACTTTACATCTCCATGCATAGGACAGAACAGAGCCCCCATTAACCTCTGTTCCTAGCCAAGCTAGGTCCCTCGCGGACCCTAGCCCAGAAAGTAAACGGAATACCCTAGGATCCTAGGCATATACTCTACCTCCAAGGCAAACACAGCATCCGTAGGAAAATCTGAGACCTCTGCGCCCAGGGGGAACAAAAGGGCACTCGAAGTCTACATGGAGGCCACACAGAGGCCACGAGAGGCTAAAGGCTCGTCTGGCCGAACCAGCACCCCGAGAGTGGGACGCGCCCAGCGCCTCCTTGCGCCCGCATTGTCCCCAGCGGTACCCAGAGCTACTTCCTTGGTCTCGTGACGCGCCGGGCCACTCCCTAGCCCCGCCCCTCCGGTGCCCATTGGCCAAGCCGGGTTCTGGAGGCGGGGCGTCTACCCGGCCCCAGCCAGGCCCGGGAACCCCCGGGAGGCGGAGGCGGAGGCGGAGGTGGCGGCGCCTGCGGCGCCTGCGGCGGCGGCGTTAGAACCATGGCCGCTGACGCGCGGTCTTCGGGGGTCCGCGCTGGCGGCGGCCGGGGCGCGGCGGGGTCCCGGACGACCTCTTGGGCGCTGTGGCCACCGCTCCCGCCTCTCTCCTTTCTCTTTTTGTTGTTGCTGGCGACGCCCAGCGCTTGGGCCGCGGGATACCAGGTGAGCGCGGCCAGCGAGCGGAAATGTACAAGAGCCAGAGTGAAGCCTCCAGTAGGGTCCGGAGGTGTGGGTGGGTCTGTTTTGTGGGCGCCTAGTGAATGGTTGCTAATATGACAGTGTGGTCTGAGTGAATGCTTTGTGTCATTGAGAAGTCTGGCTGTGCGTGTCTGAGAATGGGGCTGTCTGTGGCTGCTTCCCTTGCTTCTGGACTTTGCGCGCATTTACCTGTGTAGCTGGACGTGAGCGGGCGAGCAGCTGTATGTGTGGCGAGGACTGGTGGAGAGCTGGGAGTCAGCTGCCTGAAGTTCTAGCTTGGCTCCTCCACTTCCTGGCTGCGTGATCTTGGCCAAGTCCCTTCACCTCTCTGATCCTCAGTGTTCTCATCTGAAAACTGGAGATAATATCGCCCCCACCCCGCAGGCTGACTGCTTGGTATTTGCAAATGCTTAATAAACATTAGCTACTACTATTATTTCCACAGGGTGTGAATGAGAGGTGCTCTGAGAAGTTGTGTCAGGTGGGAGTTGCATCTGTGACACAACTATGTGTGTCCTCCCTGGGAGGGCCTGGCCCCACCTGAGTCACTTGCCTCTAAATCAAGGCTCACCTTATGTCCTCCCCAACGCCCCAGTGCAGCCTGCCTCTTAACCTTGGGGTTACTGACAGGGTATGTGTGTTGTGTTTGGGGTCCCTGGGCAGACATGCCCCAAGGTGGAGCCGGACATGCTGAATGTGCACCTGGTGGCCCACACACATGATGACGTGGGCTGGCTCAAGACGGTGGACCAGTACTTCTACGGCAGTGAGTAGAGGGTGGGGACTGACCCCTAGGACTCCCACGGCCCCTCGGAGCCCCTCGAATTCTTTTTCAGCCCTGGACATTAGGGTGGGGGCAATACCCAGCTTGGGCTCCTGTGTCTAGGATTATGCCCCTTGGCTTGCTGGTCCCTGACTGCCTGACCCCTATTCCCATAGTCAAGAATGATGTCCAGCACGCGGGCGTGCAGTACATCCTAGACTCGGTCATCTCTTCCCTGCTGGCGGAGCCCACCCGCCGCTTCATCTATGTGGAAATCGCTTTCTTCTCCCGTTGGTGGCGACAGCAGACAAATGCAACGCAGGAAATCGTGCGGGACCTGGTGCGACAGGGTGAGGCTGCCCTAAGGAAGTGAAAAGAGGAAACCCAGCCCAGCTTCTGTTTCTACTACTCTGGCTTCTGAGATTTTTATCATACCAAGTGCTGCCTGTATGTGGCTGCACCTGCCTGGAATTTCTCTGTATTTGGAGAACTCCTGTGCGTCCTCTAAGGCCCCACCTCCAGTGAATCCTCTGGAAAGCATGCCATGCCGGGAGGGCTTCTGTTCAGTATCTCTCTACACTGGCCTGGGAGTGACCCCTCTTCGCCTCTCAGGCCTGGGCATGCAGGCAGGTCTTCTCGTCCCCGGCATCACCAACCCAGGCCCCACTCCTGGCCCTGACAGCTGACTTGGACTTTGCCCCTCCCGGCACAGGACGCCTAGAGTTTGCCAATGGTGGCTGGGTGATGAACGATGAGGCGGCCACCCACTATGGAGCCATCATCGACCAGATGACACTCGGGCTGCGCTTCCTGGAGGACACGTTTGGCAGCGACGGGCGCCCCCGTGTGGCCTGGCACATCGACCCCTTCGGCCACTCTAGGGAGCAGGCCTCGCTGTTTGCGCAGGTCTTTTCCTGGCCTCTTGGGCCAGCCCCTTCATTCCCTCTGACTCCTCCCCCGGTCACTCAAGCCCGCCCCTCCCTTCCCTGAAAGTTCACTCACACCAGGCCCTGCCCCTGGCCCTCTGGCCCCTTGAGACCCTGCCTCTTGGGTGACCTGTGAATCCCATTCCTTTTCTGCTCTGACCTTGACCCTTCTCTGCCCCAGCCTAGGCTGACCGCCCCCCACCACCACCGCACCCTCATGTCCAGCTGGCTCCTCCCCCCCTCCCCGACCCCACCCCGTTTGCTCTGATCCTGGCTCCTCCCCAAGTGGGGTGGCAGGCGATGGCCTGCGGTTTTGCAGCCGGCTTCATTACCTGTGCCATGACCCCGCCTCCTTCCCGTGCTTAGGCTGCGGAAGGTGGAGGTGGGTTCTAGCGTTGGACCAGCTCCCTCCCGGCGCTCCCGCAGGACTTCCGACCCTCCCCAAGTTCAAAATGAATTGGAGGGCCTCCCTGGTTTTAGACCTGGTTTTTCTATCCGTGCTCTGAAGGGGTGGCGGTTGGTGAGGAGAGGGCTAGGCCCTTATTTATCCTGCCCTGTCCTGCTCTCCCATCCCGCTCTTCATCCTGCCCCACCTCCAGATGGGTTTTGACGGTTTCTTCTTCGGACGCCTGGATTATCAAGACAAGAGCGCGCGGAAGGAGAAGATGGAAATGGAGCAGGTGTGGCGGGCCAGCGCCAGCCTGAAGCCCCCCGCCGCGGACCTCTTCACCAGTAAGGGGGTGGAGTGGGGAGAGGGCCGCCCCCACGCTCAGAAGGGCCCTGGGCTTGGTTTTATAGCCAGCTGTCATTGTCTTGAAATTCTTAATAATTTAGGAACAAGGGCCCAGCATTTGCACTTTGCACTGGGCCCCGCAAATTCTGAAGTCCATCCCCTGTGGGGCCTGGCAGGTCTAGGGGGTGGGGCCACCCCTGAGCCTGGTGCGGCCCACAGGTGTGCTCCCCAACATTTACAACCCACCGGATGGTCTGTGCTGGGACACGCTGTGTGCCGACAGGCCCTTTGTGGAGGACCCACTCAGCCCTGAGTACAACGCCAAGGACCTGGTCCATTACTTCCTGCAGTTGGCCACTGCCCAGGTAACCTGGTACCCAGAACCGGTTCCTCTGGTGTACATGCACGGGGCCCTTCCACCAGCCCAGGCAATCCCTAGCGCCTCCTCACCATCTTCGGAGGAAGGTAGTGTTCCTTTCACCATCACTATGCCCTCCTCCTGGATTTGTGTGTGTTCCTGACTAGAAATGCGGACCCCTTCACCACTGCACACCTCCACCATGATCATGAGACAGCATGGCACGGTGCCTCAGTACCCACGTCTGGGTGGTGAGCCCAAGAGAATTACCCAACAGCTTGTGGCTATTTTTCTGTTATGTCCCTCTGCTCTCACGTGACACACTTCCACCCCTGCCCCCCCCATGCCTCTGTGCGCCCACATTCTTGACCACGTATATATCGAGACACAGCTGTCCACAGGGGTGGCCCAGGACACCCTGGCCTGAGGACACCCCCCCATCCCACCTATAGGGCCAGCACTACCGCACCAACCACACTGTGATGACCATGGGCTCAGACTTCCAGTATGAGAATGCCAACATGTGGTTCAAGAACCTTGACAAGCTCATCCAGCTGGTCAATGCCCAGGTGAGTGTGCCTACCCCGTGGGCACCTGTGCTTGTATCCCTGGGCCTTGGGTCACGTACATTATCTATGGGTGCTATCTTAGTTTTCTATGGCTGCTTTAACAAATTACCACAAACTTAGTGGCTTAAAACGACAGAAATCATTTTATCTTACAGTTCTGTGGGTCACAAGTCTGACATGGGTCTCACTGGGCTAAAATCAAGATGTCAGCAGGCTGCGTTCCTTCTGAAAGCTCTAGGGAAAAGTCTCCTTGCCTTGTCCAGCTTCTAGAGGCTGCCCACTTTCCTTGGCTCACGGCCCCCTCCTCCATCTTCAAAGCCAGCCACACAGCAGCTCTCTGACCCTGCCTCTGGTGTTACATCTCTTTTTCTCACTCTCACTTCTTTCTCCTCCCTCTTCAACTTTTAGAGACCCTTGTGATTACATTGGGCACACTAGATAATCCAGGATAATCTCTCTAGTTTAAGGTCAGCTGATTAACAGCCTTAATTCTGCAGGCTTAATTCCCTTTTGCCATGTAACCTAACATAGTCAC